ACAGGTACAGGGGGAGGGGGGCTGACGGTATGGGGTACAGGTACAGTGGGGGAAAGACAGGTACAGGGTTAGAGAGGGACTCTAGGACATGTACAGGGGGAGCATTATTCCTTCAACAGGGGGCTACTGGGCCTTCATTCAATGAGAGTGCCAATGGGGGTGGGCTTACTTTCCTGTGTGTATCAGTGGGGGGGGGGGAACCCTTCCAGTGAATGCCATTGGTGTGGGGGATCCCCAGTGAGTGCTAATGGGGAGTCCTTTCAGTGAGAGGGATGTGAGAGCGACCTTCAAGTCATAACTTCATTTGACTAAAGGGGACATTTGAGTCCCTCTGCCTGGATGTGAGGGACTTGGTAGCAATCCGTAACACGGAGCTGTTTTCCTAAACTCCTACTGCCTTCAACCATTCTCTGCCAGTGTCAGAGGTTGCCAGTACCTGTCACTTACAGTGTAATAGGGCTGGGGACCGAGGCTGACAAACAGTCAGTGTCTGACAAATGCGATTATTCACTAAAGTGAGAATTGTCAGGAATTCAAAACTAATTTCAAATTTAGGGCCGAAGTAGCCTCACTGGAAACATTCTCCAGTCCAGTCTGGATACTTTGAATTCCTGACAGTTCTCGTGAATTATTCAGATATAAATAATTAAAGCAATAACGTGCCCTTATATTTGGATATGACGTCACTCCTAGCGACCTGTTATTCAGAGATTCCTAGTGGCCTATTTATCATTTGCCAGAAATGTTCCCCAACTGGTAGAACCAACACAGTATAATTACTGCCCTGTGAATCTCCTCTTACTTTATAAATTCATTATTGCTTGTAACAGACAAGAAGTCCAGGTCAGGATGGCTAGCGGGTTTTACAACTTACATATGGTAGCGGATGGCATTGGGCTGTCCTTAGAATTATGTGTATTCATATGTTTTCGGTTAAATTTTGCCATATGTATGTAAAGTTTATGCAGCATTCGCCTGATTGTTCGGTAAAATCACTCCAGTATTATGCAAGTGAAACTACCGAACAATCAGACCACCCCAGGAATAAGTGTGCCTCCAATTACTGTTCGCAACAATGTTGCAAACAGGTAATTGGCAATTCGTGCAGTGTGTGCTTTGTCCTCTGGGTGGCCGCTATTCGGGAGACGAACACGTGGCGGTGGCCATCTTAATCTCCCAAACAGCGGTGTTTTGCCGTCGAGTGTATGGAACTCAAATTGGACACTCGGTTAGGCAAACACCGCTGAGACCTCCACACTGCTGCCAATTCGTGTAAGAACTACTGAACGGCTCCCCATTCGGTAGAAAGAACCCCACGAACAAGGGGAATTACCCGAATCCTCCCCAGTCTTCATAACCCAAGCCATTCGTGTGTTTCATTCCCTTTTTCTGTGACCGACCGCAGGACCAAAATATATGGAACCCTTTTCGGCTAACTCCAGTGCGGTTGGTCTCTTTATTCTCCAGGAATTTCCCAAACCCCTGGTCCGATCTGGATGATTTTTGGATATGTGTCTCACCCGTATCAGGGCTACCAGGGGATGTACTATTTAAAGGGGTACTCCTAGGTTTAGGGGTACATCCAGAAAACAAGGGGAACTGTGTCCTACGTAATGGGATTTTGTGTCATACTAAGGGGAGGGAATGTGTGGGTGGCAACTCATGTACGATTGGTGTATTGTATAATTACTGTAAATCCCTCCCTTGCATGGGAGAAAGCTTTAAAAGAAGGTTGAGTGATTAAAAGTTCAGTTCTGCTCCTGATGCTGTGTGTCGTCCAGTCATTGGGATTGATGTTGGGATATTATTGGATTGTCTTGCCTGCTGGAATTATTGCCTTATGGATTTTTAATACTTGTTCCTAAGCCTCACTGGGATCTTGAGTGGAGATAACCTGTGGAATATTAACTCTCCGCTACACATATATCCAGGGTTCTGACATCATCGGACAGTGTGATCTACAACAACTCGTTTTCTCAAAGATGAATACATGTCAAGTTAGAGCTACACCTCTCCTGCCCTTTTGGCTATATAGCTAAAGAGTGACACATTGTGGCAACATGACCATTCATTCTACCTATCAATGTGTTTTTTGTTTTCATAACACTAGGAGTAGAGTAAGCTTTATATATGTGGACATTGTGAAGCGTCCAAAAGAGGAGGTAGGAATTGGTATTCTATATATTGAAAATTCCTGGATAATTATGTTCTGAATGAAGAGGAATCATTGAAAATACAATATTTAATAGTGGTTTTATCCCAAATTAGGCTGAGTGGAAGGTGGAGCTTTCCATAGTCTAATGTGATGGATTTTGGGGTAAAATTATCACCAATATCATCTGGCCGTTACTGAGAGATTACTGATTGGTGCTCAGACGAGCTCGCAGTATTTAAGGAAGGGGAGTTTAATTATACAAAAATAAATTCACTTTCTTCTTTACAAAATGCAGGGGATCATGATTCTCAAGGGCAAAGATGGCTGAGTTTCCACCATAGATGTCTCCGACCGCCTTTTCCCACTAAGTTTAGGCAGGTTTATGGTGGGAACGTGTAGTTCTGGGGTATCTGTTTAAGCCATCGCTGCTCTGGTAGATTACACTGATTGACTATAAGCAGATCCATAGTAATCCATCGGGTAACCTAGGTGACTGTATGTGTTAGGGTCTGAGGAATTCAGTCTATATTTAAGAGCAAATCCAAAAGTGTAGAATCCTGAGTCTTCTTTATCATTGAACCTTCCAACTGTACGAGCATCTGTCACCCTGTATCGATGGGCCCTAGAATATAGAGAGTCTGCACTGGTCCTCAGTCACCCAATCTGGAGCCATTGCCTACTCACTCTAATTATCTTTCACTAGTGTGGATTCGTTTCTGATATTGACTTGAACCTCCTGTTTCTGCAGCTCCCCATCCTGTTAAAAGGAACCTCTGATGACGACAATCCATGCCCTGGGTACCTGTATGAGGAAATTGCCAGTATCCTTTTCCAACCACTTCTTGCTCTGTGTTCAGTGATTGGCTACCTGCTTCAAACTGTTTGACCAAAATAAACAAGTGATTATCGAGGACTAACCGGCAGCTACTGACCTATAGAGACTTACTGACAAGTGTATTAAGAGGTGAGAGGTACATGTCCTGATGTCTGTGTATTAGGAGGAGGTGAAAGGTGCGTGTCCTGATGTCTGTGTATTAGGAGGAGGTGAAAGGTGCGTGTCCTGATGTCTGTGTATTAGGAGGAGGTGAAAGGTGCGTGTCCTGATGTCTCTGTATTAGGATGAGGTGAAAGGTGCGTGTCCTGATGTCTGTGTATTAGGATGAGGTGAAAGGTGCGTGTCCTGATGTCTGTGTATTAGGAGGAGGTGAGAGGTACGTGTACTGATGTCTGTGTATTAGGAGGGGTGAGAGGAAGGTGTTCTGATGTCTGTGTAAGATGTGTGGCTCTCTGTGTATAAGGAGTGGTGAGATGCGTGACTCTCTGTGTATTAAGTGGAGACCAGCAGTATGTGCTTTCTGTTAGTATATAAAGGTAAGTGTCCGTTCCAGCCCATGTTGAAGTCGTTCCCATGACATTCCACTCAGAGATTTCCCACGAGTCTCCTGGAAGCTGTCGTTGTCTCCTGGAATATCTGCTGAACCGGCTGCAGAGCAGCTCCTGCCATGTGAAGCTGAAGGTGGGTTGTAAATAGGACGTTAAAGGGTTAATTGATGCTATTTGGCACCACTCACCCTCATTGTCCTTCCCAGGTGCTGAAAATCCTCCTATATCTCTGCACACTAGGATCAGCCCAGTTTGTCCAGGATCTCAGAAGAAATGCTTCGTTTATCCAGGAAGCGGCAGGTGAGTCTCTTCGACCATGGCCTGGGAGGTTGGATTCACTACATAATTCTAAATTAAACAGACTGTGCAATAAAGGAAGTATAAACATCAGATGACTCTTTAAAGGAATTGTTTAGGAAGGCTGTGTAAGTCACATGCAGGGAGGTGTGACTAAGGCTGTATAAACAAAAAAATTTAACTCTTAAATGGCAGAGAATTGAGCAGTGAGACTGCAGGGGCATTATCTATACACCAATACGGCTTTATTAAGCTAAAATTGTTTTGGTGCTTAGTGTCCCTTTAGCTGTGAGCTCTAGAGACGTAAACTGGCTTGCAAAATATAGGTAGAAAAAAGCAGATTAAGAAAATAAAATCTCCAGTTTTGTTCATTTAGAGATTTTATTTCCTGACATTTCCAGGTTCCACTTACACTCTTTCATGTGTTTTAGTGCAGTGTGTAGTGTGTAATAATTTCTTAAACTTATGCTGGTTTCTCTACAGATGTCGGTGGCCCCCCGGATCCTCTTCATGGTGTAAGCTTGTACCAGAAGGTCCGAGCTACAGCACAGGTGGGTTCGTGAATACAAATAGTCTTCCAGAGGATCTAATTACTAATGTATCACTGTGCCAAAATTCGTATCAAAAGCTCTACTGCTTACATTTTTGTTTTCTTTTAATAAAAAAAAACACAAATGTGGGAAAACTGAGCAAATTATAAAATGTGTATGGAAACTG